TACGGCGTATAGATGAATGCTTACCCTGTAGATCACTGAGTGGGTCAGATGATGAGGATGGTTTTGTTATATGCGGAATGGAGATGGGCTGCGAAGTACTCGCTGCTGCATTAGAATGCTGATTCACTGTATTCTTTGAGCTAGTCGCGTTTTCTGGAACGTTGAGATTGGTGTCTCCGGCCGAGCCAGAGGCTGCGGTGCTCGTGTCTTCATCCTGATTGGAGATCTCGCGCAGGCGCAAGACGGTGAATCCTCTTGTTTTTAGATATTCACAAACGGTGGATTTGCCTGAATAACGCGTTCCTATGAGTCCGATGAACATGCGAGCACGCTTTTATCAGTCCGTTCGTGTAGGTGATAGCGCAAGGTGGCAAAAGCACAGCGTGCACGCGTTTGTCGAAACGACTGCTTTCCATACCAGGTTTTACAAGACAATAGCGAGCACAAATCTTCAACATTTTCTCTTCTACTGAGCTGGAGATAGGCTAACATGACGAGAAATAATCCCAACAACCCTGCCAATTCGAATGTTGCAACCGTCAAGGTTTTGACAAGTCGCATCATAACTGCCGACCCTTTGAGCGGAAAATTGCGGGAACCTTTTCTCGAGAATCAGACAATTATAGTATCGCAAACTACCGGCAGAATCCTAACGGTTGAACCCACCTCCCATGAGGACCTTCTAACTGGCTACGCGAATGCCATTGACCTACGGGGCAAAACCGTGTTACCAGGACTCATAGATACCCACGTTCACTGTGAGACCTACGTTCAGTTAGATGGCTCATCTCATATTCCCCAGTCTTTCTACACCCCTACAGCGAGACTTCATGGGACGACCAGGTCACCCGAGAGAGTACAGCAGAACGCGTTGTACGTGCAGTGAATCACGCCAAAGCGACTCTGCTCGCTGGATACACGAGCGTAAGGTGAGTTTACGCAGTGTCGAAACGTGCGGGGAAACTAAACTTAGAACATCAAAAGGGACTTGGGGACCGAAGGAGCAGAAGACGCTGACATTTCCATTCGTAAATGTATCTCGGCTCCTATGGGCATTATCCCCGGCCCACGCTACCATTGTGCTACTCGGGCAATTGTCGCTACTGGAAGCTATGGTAAATCTTGCCTCGATCGACAGTGCGTCGACAACGGTGTTAACGTTTGTACAAGGTCCGAAGAATGTGAATCGTCCATATGTCACGGAGGTGGATGGCAAGTCTGGTGCAGACCCTGCGAGCGGTTAGCCTTTGTCGTTTCTGTCATTAGAGTCGCTTAGATCATTCGAGGTGTTGACGAATGCGTGAGGGTTGTGAGGAGACAGATTGGCGCGGGTGCAGATTGGATAAAGGTGAGTATGCAGCTGGATAATCAACTGGATGCTCACCTGGTGTTAGATATATGCAGGTAGGTACCTTGATCGACGGGACACTCCTGAGATGAATATACCTTAGATTATCCCGGACGTGTCCTAAATACTGCTGCACCCCGAATTTCGACAAAGTCCCTTCCGTTGTTCACAAGAGAGGAGGTAGAGGCTATGACCAAGACTGCCCATAGTTTAGGCGTCAAGGTAGCCGCGCATTGCGTCAATGCAGAGACTATCAAGATGCTGATAGAGGCCGGAGTCGATACACTCGAGCATGGTACCGCGATGACAGAGGACGTCCTACCTCTCCTAGTCGAGAAGCAGATACCATGGACACCTACCTTTGCTGCTTATTACTCTCATCAGTACCCGGGTGCGAGACCGTGGCAGTCGCTCCAAAAAGTATTTTCCAAGGCAATCAAAATGGATGCCGCAATCACGACTGGTGGTGACACAGGTAACGAAAGTCTGTAAACAGATCTAACGGCCTTCTAACCTCTTGTCAGGCGTGTTCGCACACGGAGAGAATTCTCTTGAATTAAAGTTGATGCATCGACTGGGCATGGATTGGAAAACTGCCATTCACGCTGCGACGTGGCGATCCTGGCTCTGTATCCGAAACATGTACTGGGATTCCGATGAAGGGCATG